CCCCAAAACCCCAAAACCCCAAAACCCCAAAACCCCAATAGACATAGATCATCGCTTTTTTGAGTGTTAAGAAATTAAATTAATATCAAATTAGTAAATAAGTAGTTGTTAGTAAATAAAATTATTCAGCTCCTTAATTTTAACTTGCTTCATTGATTGTTCAACTGCAACTCTCTTTTAACAACTGATTTTGAAATTCAACTTCTTCAACTGGAGGTTTTTATTGCTGAATATTTTGTTGATTCTAGAATGAGAAAAGTTGCTGATCATTTAAGTGCATATAGTCAACCTGGGCATTAGGATCTATATCTATGTTATGCAATTGGTATAGACTGTCATTGTTTTGATCTTTGTTAACAAGGCCATTCACACTAAATTTGTCTTAGTTATCATGATTAGTAGACTCATCAATTTTGTGAGAAAATGGTCCATATACGTGATATGTTCTTAATCTTTTTTAATCGTTTTCATGATCATAATGCTCTCTATTATGGAAATACTAAAGAGATGGATCATGTATTGCTACGGTTCTTCTTTATTCTTTGTGCTGCTTAAAATCTCGTCTGCTTATATAACCTGGAGCTATTGCATTATTTTCCATTGTGCTTATCTAGTTTTTAGGTCTGTCCATATTTATAGCTTTGTTTATTGATAAGTAAGTTTTCTTGCCTTATTCTTTTTAAGCTCTTTACTAGAATGGTGATGTCCATTTTTATTATTGCTGAGGTAAGGCGTTTAGTGGTACTTTGTAGTGTTTAAATATACTCTTAGCAAAGTCACTATTCCTAACTGGAGAGACATTTGTAGACTAAGCCATTTGATTCGTGTTATATCCATAAGTGTTCTTAGAGTTTTTATTAAGAGTCATTGTGTTGATAGGCCTGAAAGTTCTTGCAAATTTATCCCGCTCTGAACTCTTCTTTATGTTATTCTTAAGTTCAGTTTGAGAAATAGGGACTTGTGCATAGTCCTCAATTGAATCACCTTCGTTAGAAGCATCCCAGCTTTTAACTTGATTGTGGGCTTTCTATAGGAGTTATTCAATTACTTTGTAACTGTTAAGATGATTCTGTTCAGTGTTAAACTTTTAATTAAGATCATCATATGACTCCTAGTGATTCAATCTATGTGATGGTGGCTGAAATATGTCATATTATCTTTATGATGAGGAACCTATTGATTCCAATTTAGGATTTGTTGATGTCTGTCTAACCATGTCTTATTAGTATTAATACGTAACTGATCTTCTGTGATTAGTCAAATAGTCCAAAGTATCAACTTCACTCAGAACCTGCCCATTTGCTGGTTGATTTTGCTAAGGATTAATTTGATCATTTTAGAGTGTTTTAGGAGATTCAGAAGTAATAATTGGGTCATTAATATTGACTATTTTATTAGAGTCAAGAGAGGACTGTGAATTTTAAGAATTCCTAATCTCGACAATAGCACTACCTACTTAGGCTTTGGTTGTTTAGTCCTAAGTAGTCTACAATGTGGGTTTATTTAAGGACTGCAAGAATATCTGATGCTGCTAATTAATTACATTAATTTGATGCTACTCATGAATCTGGTTTAATTATGGCTGAATAATGTCTTAGTAGCTATCTGGTTTAGCTTGGTCAAGCCTTGATGTCTTAATCAACTTAATTTCTTCTAATCTGCTGCCAACAACAGTAGAAGCTCTGAGTCTTTAGCTAGGCTCTTTAAACTCAGTCTTTTATCTAAGATACTTCAAGCAATTAAATCTGTTGCAGCACTTGCACCTTCTCTTTTAATGAGATGCCATCATAATCATTTTATCAAACCACTCAGGCCTCTCTATAAATCCTCCAAACTTCCATAAGTTTTTCTCTATCGTCCTCATATTGCCCATTTAAGATAAAGCTCTTAAATCATCCTAATTTACTTCCACTTCTTAAACTTGACTTTAATTATATTACTGGAACATTGAGCTGGTCCTTGTTCCGCCTGGGGTAGTTTTAGATTTCTCTTACTAGACTGAGGGAGATGACCATTTATAGCAGGTCTCTGGTCTGAAAGTCTAAAAAAACGGAAGTCCATTTTTATCCTTCAAAGCTTCATTGCTATCAGGCTATCTCCAGAACTGATCATTATATAAATTGTCATAAATTGAGATAGCTGTCTAGCCTCTTGTATTCTACAAGTTAGCTCCTTTATCAGTAGAAATCCCTCTGATCTGTTATTAGACATTAATTTCAAATCTATTTTTCAGTTCAGGTGGGAGAGTAGCTCTGGGATATCTAGATACTTTAACTATAGATGTCTTAGGCTGCTAAGTAAAGACTGGCTAACCATCCACTAGGTTTTGACTTTCTATGTAAAGATTGCTAAAGGCAAGATTTTCAACATCTACAATGTCGAAATGTTTTTTATTAGAGCATTTTCTATTTGTACTGGAGATACAACTTATTCCTGTCTTTTAGAGATTTTGGATCATTTATTGCTATTCTTTTTTCTTTCTTAAGTTGATGTCTTTTTAATCTTCAAATACGTTATAAATTTATCCTTTTTTGAAGACATCCTAGAAATGAATCTCATAGTTTTCCTTGAATTTCTTAGGCACTAGCTTCACATACTTGATCTACTTGTACTCATAGTCTATATTTTCATTGTATAAGGGAGAAAACATAGATATCCTTTTGTCCTCTCTCACAGTGATTGGCTCAGATTTGAAGAAATCCTATGTTTTTCTCTCTGATTCCTAGAATGAGATCATTTTAGATGCTTGAAACAAAGGATCAAATTCATCATCAAGTTAGCCATTTTTTAATAGTTGTTCATTTGCTACAATACCATCAATGATGGCTTGTTGATTGTTATTTTTAGACTTTTGCAAGTCCACGCTTGGTAATCTCTTGGATTTTTCAATCAGGGCTTTGGATTAGTTCAAGACTAAATCACCATCCTAAGTGATGACCTTATAATTTTTATTTTTATAAAAGGACTTCATTCCACTCCTATGAGAGAGGAAATTAAAGTCAAAAGTTTTTTAAGTGCTCTCTTAAACTGGAATATACTTGGTCATCTGCTCTTGAAATTGAAAGGAAGGCACAATCAATTTAGAATTTTTACTAGATGTGCTATTCTTGGTTGGAGGAAAAACTTAGTTTTTGTTATTTGACATTGACAGTGCCTGGAACTTTTATTGATTACTGTACTCTCCCAGAGCTGTGCTTCTGTCTGTTGACATGCCATGAGATTCTATCAACTATTAGGACTGTATAATTACGAAATATTGATGGAGATAATTAGTTTTTCTACTTCGTCTTGAGTGCCTCATAATCAAGTGTGAATGGATTCTCCCTTTTATTTGGATTAGGACTCAACCTGCTTCGAAGTTATTCCATTCCCTCTAAAATCTCATCCGAGTGAATCCTAAAATTAAGAAATAAATTATGATTTAATCATACAGTTATTCTTTGCTCTTGATCATTATGTTTTTAGATAACAACTTATTTATTGGATTCTCTTTAAGCATTTTTATTCTAGGGCCTAAATATATTTATTTTCCAAAAAATCTATTTTTTTAATATGAAAAATTATATCAATCTCTTTCTTAATGGGGGTTTTGGGGTTTTGGGG